TTCCTGGAATAGAATGGTTTAATAAAATCTACAGCTTTCATGGTTTCTCTTCACCCACTGGACCATCTCCTTCTCTAGTAGAATGCGCTACATCAATTTGAGGAATCTCCATGCTTTTGATGACATATTACTGATATCTCCTAACCATCTCTATACTTAATTGTATTGTATCCTCTGAAACCACTTTGTGTGGGGACTGTTTCAATTAATTATGATTCATATTTAGTTTCTCTTCTGTAAGTCTTTTATGTTTTAGTCTTCTCAATGCACATATCGTAAAGATCTTTTTTATTTTTTTTTATATATCCCTCTGCCACTTCACTAAATCATAGAATTTTTCTTTAAGCTACGTGAGATTGGAGAAAGGTTTATCCCATTACTCTTTTTCTAAATTTTACCTTTATCTCTTGAACAACACTTGGAAAAAAAGGAAAAGCCACATTTGGAATATGTTGTGGAATCCTCCTGAAGGAAGTGGCCATGCAATGACAATAGGAACATCACATGCACAGTTTTGCTATAGATTTCCAAAAGTGATCATTCCTTTCTTACCATGATGCCCTGGGTTTTCAGATCAGATGGTAACTGGAGGGAATTAATGTCAGGTAAAACTGGAAAAATGAGGGAAGTCGTCTGTTGTCACAGCATATAGGAACTTGTGAATGTCACTGTTTCATAGTCAGAAACCTTCTTTAAAAAGGAACAATTTTATAAACACTTAGGAACAATATGTGTAGTCACATTGACAAAGATAGGGCAAGCAAGTCTCATGATTTAGGGTTGAGTAGTGGATATTCATACCATTTGACTTTACATACCCTAAAGCATCTAGGCTAGGAGCTTAAGGAAATTTTAGATTATATGAATACCTTCAAGGAGTCATTGCTAGAAACTGGGAGGTTCTTTTTTCTTTTTGCCTGAGAAAACAGAAAACATTCGTCAAGACAGTTGCCATGGATGTGTGGGGTAATGCATGCGGCAAATGCAAAAACAATTATTTGCAGGCCCAGTGGTGTAATGAAGTATGACAAGTTTCTACAAGTAATATTTATAGTTTTCTTTATCCACCATTCATCACTGAACTCTGAGGTAGTGGTCATGTGGGAGTCCCTGGTTTACATTTTTCTTACATGGCCAACAAATAATCAGAACTTGGTTCATATGTTGTGTGGTATAGTGTCTTGTTTCTGATTAACATGATTCCAACACTGCCTGCCTGAGCCAATGAATAAGGAAGTAAACATCTTTTTAAACCCTTAGCGTAAAGAATTTCCAATGCTAGGGTTGCATTTATTCAATTTTGTAGTTAAATAGTTTGATCCTATCAAAAAGGCTTTATCCATATCAAATATTTATGTATTTGTCAGGATTTTGGAACAAAATGTGAAGAGGTTTAGCCTTTTGGTGAATGTGGGTATAAATACCTACTTCTGAAAGCTTTAGATCCTGTGAAATTCAGGCTTATTTGTCAGAAGCAGTAAGCCGGGAAGCTTTAGTGTACCAAAAACAGAGTAAGTAAATTATCAGGAAGTGGAAGGAGTCTAAGATGGATAGAGCTAAGTATCTGAGGTTTTCTCCTCTTCTGCAACTCTTCCTTTAAGTAAGTCCACCTAAAGCCAGAATTTAAGATTAGTTCAGAGCTGTTCTTTCTTTATGACCTGTGATTAGGTCTGCTGGCTTATATACATTTTGACAACAGCCGGGTAGGTTTTGTAAATTTCTTTTCAGTAGTAAAATAAAGGGTAAAAGTAAGCAGGTGAATTCCTCATAGGCTATGTTAGAAGGCAGAGCAGTAGTAATGAAACCATATATGAGATGTCTGCTTGGAAAATATGAAGTGCCTGTTCGACGGTAACCAGGTCTTTTGTTTATCTTTTCACAAGTCCATTAAGTATTTATGAGCACCCTTCTTTGCTCTCTGTTGGTTTCCCTGCTTGGTAAGTTCTTTTCCACTGGCTTCCTATCTCATTCTACTGAAGTTTAAACTTCAGCTTATTCTTCAGGGTTCAGGACAGAGACATCTGTGACTAATCCTTAGCTATTAACTCCTGCTGTTGTTACCTTGTGAGTAAGAAAGGGATGTAATTGTAATGCACTTACCTTAACTGCTGCTGCGTTATTCCCTGCCAGTCTCTTGGAATGTTTCTTTCCTTCTTTGCATTAAATATCTTCATTTAGCTCATTCAGATTGTTCCAAAACCCTCACTTCTTTCGGGTAACGTTTGACAATAACTGCTTAGTATTGCTTCTGCCTCATCTCATAATCCATTCGTTTAGCTTGTATTGTGATATGAAAGTAATAAATAGTAATCATAAAACCTGAGATCCAGAGATTTATTTGCAATTTCACTGTTCAGGTTTTTTTTTTTTTGTCAGTCCTACATTTTGCTTAGAAGGAAGTATTGTTTTCACATTACAAATCAGCGATAGAAAAATCACGAGACCTGCTCTAGATCACACAACTTACTGGCTGGTGTCAATGCTTTTGACTTAGAACACATGCACACAGTATTTCTGCTCTGATCTTTTCTAGCTGCAAGTATTCACACCTTGTCTGTGACAGGGTTCTTGCATCAAGCTGAGTGTTTGAGAAATGAGGAGTGTGTAATCCATGGCAATTTTCCAAAATTCTAGTTTGTCAGTCAACTTCTAGGACATTTTACAGGAAGAGTTTACTAAAAATAAGGATAAACCTGAATTTCTTTCTCTAGCATTTGTCATGAAAAAGCAGTTTTTCAGTTCCTGCATTTCCTTTCAAATCCCTTGCCTTTTTGTCAATACCCTTTTAATTCCCAGAGCAGATCTGGTATAGTTTGTGCAATGTTCAGATCATTCTGATTATACCTTGAGAAGCATCCAAACTGCATTCTGAATAGCACAAGGTTCCCATAGAAAACATGTTATCTTGGAAATTAACTGTGGCATGAATGTAAAACAAGAGTTAACTTTAGGCTGTCTCTTTATATTTTAGATTTTCAAGCATTTTTAATCTAATTATTTGTAATGTACAGCTTGTGTACATATTTTTCCATATTTTTTGAAGAGAGAGAGTAAATAATGTCAATTTTATGCACCTGTAACGTCCCCAACCTCATCTCTGACTGAATCCTAAACTGTCAGCGCAGCTCGAGTTGCCACACTACCCGCACTGGTAGGTGTCAAAAGAAAAAAATCTACCCTGGAGGGAATGCATATTATGATCTCTTGCAACTTTTCCCCAAGTTTCTGTAATATGTAGCATTTTTCACATTGTTCTGATTCCACATTGTTGTGTGACATTATCAGCATTTGTTTTTTCTTTCAGTACATTTCTCACTGTTTAGAGAAAAATTGAATATATTATTTTTGAAAAAAGTTTTGAATTAGTATCATGAGTTTGGGTTCTACTTCATTTTGTCTTATAGTCTGGGATAAGTATTATTTGAACTAGGCGGCTGATCCAATTATCTTTACTCTAACTCCTGTTGTTTTCTTTTCAACTAAGGATCCCTTTTTCTTCTTGGGGCTTTTTTTTCTTTTGAATTAGGGAAGATTCTAAAGGAGACCTATTTTGTTTAAGAATGACAGTTTGTTCTTGGTCAGAATACTAGAATTGCTTGCAGATTTGCTTGGAGTCTCACCATAATGATAATGTGGATGTTTCACTTGAGAGAGTTCAAAGCAGCTGCTATTCTAATGCAATAAGACTAGCGAAGGAAAGCAACAATTTACATGCACATTTCCGGTGGATTTTATTAGTGTGCATCCTATCAGAACTGAATAGTTAGAACCTTAACTTATTGCTTGGTTGCATTACTTTCTTGAGAATCTAGTGCAAGGTTTTTTTTTTTTTCAGTATCAGTTGACTGTGTTTTGAATATGTAATTCGCCATTTGTCTGTTGGTCAGATAGAATCAAGTGGTGGCAATATAGGTTTTGCTTTTGCCCCAGGCCAGCCTAAAGCATAGTTGAATTTCCATGGCTTATTCAGTCTTTGGCTTCCTTTCTGAGATGTCCAAAAGGAATGACAGTTATTATGGTTTGAAAAGGATCCACCGCAGTTGGATGGGACTGAATTTATTTTGTATAAAATATGGAACAACCATCAGATAGTAAAAACTCAGTTTAGTCTCAACTCAGACTACCAAGAAGAAGAATATTCCTCAAGTCATGTTTCTTGTCTTCTTCCTCTCTACTTCAAATGACCTGACATAGGTTTAATTTTGCAGCAATAAAAAAGATTTATTTACTAGATTCAGCAATTCTGAAAGGAACTCTTGCTGTAAATGAGTTTTTTTATACATGCTGCTAGCAATATAAAGCCTTTAGAGCAGCTATTATTTCGTTTGTTTCTTCCATCCTCTGCATCATCTAGGAAAAAACTTATATAATAAAGGAAAAAGAATCAGGCAGGAGATGTTGGGAGAGAAATTGTATATATATTTTATGTTGAAAATAAAAATCTAATGTTGGTCTGGCATTAAAATTTTCTGGTTGGGCAGCATAATTTTTTAACTGGGAATCTTAATAGCAATGGCTAAAATCTCTAGGCCTGGGTCAATAGGAGTCTATATTGCATTCTGTCAGGTATCAGTCATGATACTTGTCAGGCCTGATACTCCCAGTAATAGCATAGTGGGATCATGTGATTTGATTCAAATACTAACTGTAGTAAAAGATACAGCTTTTTTTTTTCCAGTTAGTTTTAGGACTTCATTATTCTCCATATCCAAATCAGATAAGTAAAATGTATTCTTTAAAAAACTGTTAGTGAATTCGGCATGTAAAACCTGTGCCAGATGGGTAATATTTAAATGAAAATCATCAACAGGGAAGTTTAAAATGACATGGTAAAGCATCGTTTATTCCAGAAATTAAAGTCTGTGTCCTTGTCCTCTAGAGATGTCTCAGAGAGTCAAATTGATGTCTTGCATGTACTGCTAACTGACTGTGTGGAAATTTTTTTAAGTTCACTTTTTCTTTATTCTTCTGTCTTTTTTACCCATCTTCCCCCATTGTAGCAAATTAGACGACCGGATGAAAGCAAAGGAGTTGCTAGTAGAGTTGGATCCCTCAAAGTAAATATGTTTCTAACATTTATTTTGCAAGTTTTCTTCTACAGCCTACACTTTTCCTTTTGAAGGGGGAGGTGAGGGGAGGGAGGGAAGGGGCTTTTCCATTTCTCACCATTCCATCATTTTGATTTCAGTATTCTTATTGCTGTTGGGTCACATTTTGTTTGTTTCTGTGCTACACATAGAACAACCTGCTGAAGGCAAGCTGCCAGCTAGTTAGCTTTGAATGTCATCGCAAATAACAGGCAGAAACAACCTTCTTGAAATGCCTATAATTTGGGGATCATGATTAAACCACTTCTCTGATCTGTGTTATTTGTTGTCTCTTAACTGCTTGTTACTCGGAGAAGTGACTTACTCATCTTCAGAGCACTGCTTCCCCTATTGAAACATAATTAAGCTTTTATAGCGCTCACACATTTTGCAATTAATTCTACAAAAGATCAGTACAAGAAAGTTGAATATTTGGTGTACATCTAGCCTTTAAGTCAGAAAAGAGTAAATAAAGAGGAAATGAGAGAGAGATTCATGTGAGGCTAATAAAAATGGAGCCACTGTTTGGCTAACAACTAGCCAGTTCCTTTTTCTGCCTTTTTTATGTTTGTACAAACATACTCAACTGTTTAGAGCACTTAAGAGAACAGGCAGATTTCTAAATCAGTACCCACTCATGTATAGTGTTACACACTAATAGATGGTTTAAAACACAGGAAATTCTCCAGATTTACCAAGCTGCTGATCATGTGCAGTCTAGGCCATTCTGTTAAGATTCTGTCTCAACAGTTGTCTCTTTTTCAACCATCCAATTTTCCACCTTTTTTCTACTTCATTTCCTTTTAGCACTTTCTCAAGCGCTAATTAATTCATTTTTCTTCTGCACTCTCCCTGCCTTTTTCTGCCTCCTTGGTTTTTGATTTTTTGTTTGGTACTTGTATGTGTGCATATTGCTTTTGTTCCAGGACAAGCCATCCTCTCTGTTCTCTAGCACTGCTCTACAGCTGCTCTTTGTGAAAATGTTATTTCACTGAGCATAAAGAAGAGGAGGGGAAGGATTAATTATGCACCTCTTTCCAGTAATGACACCACCTCACCTGTCTGTGAGGCTTTAGCTTTTCATCTGGTGTTTTGGGAAGAGGTATTAGTTACAGTGTATGTGAGAACACTGTGCATGGTTGATGGACTGTTGTTTCTGTAGCAGACATTCAGTACCGCTGAATTCACACAGAGGAAAACACAGGCAGCCACAGCTACTAGTCTGTTTTGAAAATTGTGCAGATAATTATTATGACTTCTACATTTTAATGAGTCATCACATACAATTTTATATGCCTAATGCTAATACATATGCAAGAGGTGTAGCTTATTTAAGGGCTCAGATTCATCTATTATTTTTGTGAATATGGTATCACTATGAAAGCCACTAGTTTAAAACACTGGGATTCAATTTTCAAATATTGACACCTAATTTAGGATTCCTGCTTTCTTGTCTGACTGCCCAAGATTTAATTTCACTACCCAAAAAATATACTTAGCCACAAAATCTGATATGAATATCCATATAGAGAATGGAAAATCCTAATTAAGATTTCCAAATGTGAAAAGTCACCCCTAAAATGTCATTCTTAATTGAAAAAGTCTAGTACACTGCCTTACAAAAAAAAAAAAAACTAGATACACAATGTAGCAGATTCAGTAGCTTTAGAATGATCTGTTCATTGTTTTTTATATATTTATTTTTTCCTGAAAAAAATAAACTGAAAAAAGAGCCATGTTATTCAAGTACAAAAATCTTGTATCCAGTTCCAGAGTTTGCTGAGTATGTATGTTTGTATTGTGCAAAGCACGTTGATGTCTTGAAATGTTTTGCTAAAGGCAGTGAGAAATGTGTTATGCTATTTGTTTAAAAAAAATAAAACAAAGAACGAAAGAAAAAAGAAAGAACGTGACAAGAGAACAGCTTGCTTTTTCAATTCATTTTCTGATGTTTACATGTAGCTCCATCGAAAGCTGGAGGAGCTCAGAGATCACCTAGAAGGCAATGTCAAAGGATGCTCTCTCCGAGTAAATGTACGATTTCACTCGGTGATCTGTTTTTTTAAAACTTCCGCTGGCTGGTAACACCCAATCTGATTAGTTTGTCCTCTCATCCCCATCTTTTTCCTTTCTCTCTCTTTCTTCCTTTGTGTTTTCGTTCTTCACTAGCTGGGGTTTCATTTTAATGTGTATCAGAAACCTGACCTAATTGACAGGGCTTGTTTAAAAGAAAATCCTCCTACATTTTAATGAATGTTAATCAAACTTTGGTTGGCTTTAATACCAGCTAAAACAAATCCCTTTCCAAAACCAAAGTTGCACATCTAAAATTTTCCTGAACATTAAAGTTAGGAGCAAGTAAAATAAATATCCCTAGTTTGAAGGATCGCCGTGTATCCTCTGCCTGTGACTGATACTTTAACTGAACTGAAAACTATGGCTAATCTCTGAAGATAGGTTAATATTTGTTTGGATGCCAGCTATGCAAATTTCACTGCTTATATTTTTAGCAGTCTCCTTTAATACAAAAATTCTGCAGCATATTTCCTGCATGTTATATTTGTGCTTTAATGAGAAAAAAAATCATATGAAAAAAAGGATTAAGATCTAGCGTATCAGTGATGACACCTCTGTAAGATTATCCATTTTTCACAGAAATCTTTAAGAAAACAAGTTGTTGTAGCTAACGTAACAATACAGACAGCAGGACCTCATATTCATTAGTTTTCTTCATAAAGAGCAGCCTTTCAGAAATTAATTCTCTAGAACTTATAGTTTAAGCTGCATAATGTGCTGTGTAATGAAAATTAGAAAGGAACAGCTTTGAGCACAGTAAATATAAAAGTTAATAACTGTATTTATCCCTTTGCACAATCATTCAGTGAAGACTCTCAGAATAATTTCTTTAGAGTCATGTCCTGTTTGTGTCTTCCATACACTGTGACTGTTGTCATTATTCTCAGCACAATCATGTTAGTATATAATCCGCTATGGCTATCTAGTGAAAGATAATGATGATGATTTGATAATTTTTACCCTATTTGGATGCCTTTGCATATTGAGCTGTAAGTCTGACATGAAGTTAATTTCTGCCTCTGTCAAATAGAAGTCACTGAGCTTATAATCTTTTGCAGGTCAAGTACAAAGAAACTGAGCTGCTAATACATTGCGGCTTTTTATAAAATCAGTTGATGAACAGACTATCATTTCACGGGCAAATTTCTTTAAGAATCAAGTTTTTGGGAGAATAAACTGTGTGATATTTTTCATTTGGTGACATGCTAAATTTAGTAGCTATAATCAAGGCGAAGAGAGACCTTTATTTTAGACTCCTCACCCTTAAATTCATGATTTAATACTGGTGTATAAACATAAAGCCAGGAAAAGAATTACATGAAACTTTTTACTACAAGAAAGTGTTCTAGATACATATTCTCGCATAGAATGCCACAGGGGGAGAGGTTTAAAATGCAAAACTATGACCATGTTAACCATAGATATTATACGAACTAATTTCCATGAAATTGTTCTGTTCCTCTGTGCGACTTTATCTGTTCTATCGTGGCCATACCCTACACAAGATATGCAAGGAACTAAAATGTTCCATATATTCTTCATATGCCCTTTAAATTTCTTCAGACAACCAGGACACATCACAGGTATAATAGCATGTAGCTGAAGTCTGCTGCTTTTCACTACCAGTCTGATCCATACTATAATAATGGATATTTTGGATAAGGCAACATTTTAAAAGAGAAAATACACGTGATTGGTAGATCAAATAATAGCACAAATCCATAGTAAGTGGTGGACATTTGGAAAGAAAATAACGAGGGATCTGTTAATAACTCATCTTTAAAATTATTTTCATGTATTCCATAATGTTTTTGGAAAGGGGTTTAAATGAATGTTATTAATACTACTACGGTGTGGAAAATGTATTGAATGGTGTGGGAGGGGGAACATGAAGTAGCTGATGGCCAGCCCCATAAGTGAAAGTTAAATGCTATTGCACAATTGTGCGTAATATTAAGGTGGAACCTTTGTTTCAGAATGAATTTCAAAGACACACTTCCCACATTAAAGGCTAAGGTCATTAGAAATATATAGGAAACATCAAAATTCTGCAGAATATCTAAGATTCTACCAGAAGTTTAGAAAGCCTGCCAGATATGTAAAGTAATGGGCACTGAAAACATGCATTAAAATTCTAGTTGATTAAGCAGATTTTTTTTTAGTGATTAATTTAAAAGGTACTTTTAATACCAGTAGGAATGTCTAATTGTTTACAGAGAAAGTTTTCCTGAACTGAGATCTGTTTTTCCATTTCCTCTTGAGATCTTCACTCAGCTTGCTTGTAGATATTCCAATTTTTTTCACGGCTTAATTCTTTGATCCTTCCAAAATACCTATATTTGAAGCTAAAATTAAATGTTACTTAGAAAATTAGTCTTCTAGGACTTTGAATTGTTAGCACTCTCCTACCTCTTCAAATTAATGTGGCAATATCAAATAAAGTGTATTAGCTACTGAGATGATCAAGGATGAAACAGGTTGCTGGTTTATTTTTTAAAACTTATAAAATCTGTTTAAAATTGATACCTTCCTGAAAGCGTTAGAGAAGTTCAGCACAGATTCAACAGAACGATACTGCTTCAATCAGTGTTTCAAAGATTTTTTTTGGTAAGTGTGCAGGCTAAAATTAATTTTAAATGCAAGCCTAAGTTCTGCAGAAACATACTATGAGAAGCCCATCAGAAAAGCATAAGTCTAAAGATAGAAATTCTACAGAAAGTTTCCAAGCAACGTGTGAAACAATTTCTGTGTGGATCTTAACCAACATACTTCCAAATCAAAGGTTCTGGTTTTGGCCAAGAACAGTATTTTCAGATTTCATCGTAGAGGCCAAATACTGTCCATAGAGGATGTTTAATGAAACCTGGATCATCATTTTTCGTATAAATTGTGTCTCGTGGAGACTAGTCTCCTGCAGGCTATATGCTATCTTACTTTAAGTACCTGCCTTCTTTGATCATGATGAAGGATTATGTTTATGGGGCTTTCATTCCTAGTCATTATGTTCTGTTATTAAAAATCTGAGTAATGGCAGGGTGGCCCTCAGACTAATGGCAAACTGTTCCAGCAGCCTTTGGACCAGATTCTCAGCTTGTGTAAATGGGCATAGCTCTTTTAAAATCATTATCACAGTGGGGAATTTCTGTGACAGAGAGTATGGTGCCTCAACTTCAATGTTCATGGGGAAAAAAAAGCCTAGCAGCACATCTGAACAGGGCTCAAATGTTAGCACGTTAGCTAGCGTCTCCCAAAGTAATGGGTAGGGATTGTCAGGCAGCATACAAAATAGGAAGAGCTGCTCCCTCTTTCCAACTGGAAGAAACAGTCAAAAGTTAAATTACAGGAGTTCACAGATGGCAGCAAACTGGAAGCAGAGTAAGTGACAGTTTGCAGAATCATCAAAGGAACTTAGAAATATATCGACATTTAATTTTAATATTGCAGAAGCAGTACACTTAAGGAATGCTGACATCAGGCAGATGTTCAAAAAAGGAGACTAGACAGAAAGCAAGCAATGATGTGGAAAGGATCTGGAAATGATATGTGTGCAGCGGATTGAACAATCTCATTGCATGATCCTGTTGAAAATAAAGAAACAGCAATCAGTATGTGCAAGAGTGTTGGTTGTAAGAGTAGGGAACTGATAAATCCTTTCCTGAAGACCATTTTGAGATCAAAACACTTGAGCATAACTTTGATTTCATCATTATGAGAAAATAACACAGGTAAACTGAGAGTCTATACACGTGTGAATAAGAAAAAAATATGGAGTTTGTGTGTGTGTGTGTGTGTGTGTGTGTGTGTGCGCGCGCACGTGTATTTGAGAGCAAACAGAAATAAAATATGCAGGTATTTAGGTAGAAGGAATATTATCATTTGCCTCTAGGCAACTGGAACTTTATGAATATGAAGAAAGTAAGGAATGATTTAAAGCAAATACTAGGAGGCATAAGATTGAAGCTAAATGATAAACTTAGGTTAGATATTAATGAAAATATGGATAATTAGGCAGGTAACAGCAGTCCAAGAAAAAAAGTACACAAGCGTTTAGCTGAAAGTATACCTCTTGTAAGTTAGTGTAGGGACAGGGCGAATCAAATTCTTTCAAACTTTGTTGGATAAGTTTCCAAACCTCCTCATTGTTGGTGTTCCTGTTTGTTTAGTTGCTCATACTTAAAACACTCCTGCTTTGATGTTTCTTGCTGTTAATCCATTCTCTGGATCCTTACCTGCAAAGCTGAAACCAATGGATCTTCTTTCTCCATGCTATTATAGGACGAAACATGGCAGCAATGATTGGAGATTATTTATGAGAATCTTGATTAGAAATGCATCCAAAGTCTTAGGTGAATAGCAGAATCCTATGTCATGTAAGCATACATGTAAGCATACTTTGTCCTAAGCAAAAGCACATCTTATCTTTCTTGGAAAGCTTTCAAAATAATCCTCCTAGAAACAATTTTTGCTCAGTATTTGTTTGGGAGGGGGAGGAAGGAGTCTCATTTTTTTAAGAAAAGAGACTGTTTAAGATTAATACTTGGTTTCTTAAAACTGCATTCTCTTTCTATTTGTCTAAAGTCATTTTCTATTTGTGACATAATCCTTCTGTAAATCAGCTCACTATAGCTTGTTGTCGTAAGGGAACATGTCATCAGGGGAAGGAAGTAGTGGTGAGTGTATGTGAACATTTAAGACGTCCTGAAGTATTCAGATTTCCTTGGTAATATTATCTAGTTAGAGCAAAGGAAATATATACAGAATGCCAGAAAGGAACAAAAATATTTTCACTGAGAGCATTATAATTTTCTGTGAAGAAAAAAGAAGCTCTATAGACGTACATAATGAAAACATAAATGAACGTAGACAAATATGAATGTAGAATTTTCCTGGAAGTGATATTTTACATTTCAGTGAAGAATTATGAAATACATATGTCTGAAATTGACGAATGTTCATGAGAGACTTTAAGTATCATCTTCTCTACTCAATCCATCCTAATGCCTAAGTCAGGAAGTGGTCACTTACAATTTATGTGGAAATTCTTATTGGGTTCACTTTAACATCAATGTATCTGAAGCATTGTACAGTGCTAATTTTGTTGAAGTCTAAGGGATTTTTGCACAGAGTTCTGATAGGTCGTTTTTCTACCTTTAGAAAAAAAATCAAGTGGAGTTTTTTAATGCATTTATAGGAACCATGTTTTTTTAATTTCATTTATTAGGGTGTTTTTAGTCTTTATAGCCAGTTGTCATCACATCATCACTAGACTAACACAAGCTCAGGAAAAAAACCCTAAAACTCAGATTAGTATTTGTAATTGAAATATGAAATATGTTCAGCCAAAGAAAGGATTTGCAGACTCACTTTAAGAAAAGAAAACCTATAAGTAACTGGAAACTATTTACTCATTTCTGATCTAGGAGTGATATACTAGTATAGAAAAATTGATATCTTAACAAAATGTTGCCTAAGCAGTCATATTGTTGTGATCTGTGCATAGCTAAACCACACTCTAGGTTCAGAACAACTTCTGTCAGTAAAACTATAGTGTTCCCAGTGAAGTGTCTATGCTGATACATGCTGACAGTGGACAGCGTCCCTCAAGAATCCCAGCTCTTTATATTAAGGAGGGCTATAACATGCAGATTTCTGTTGGCCTGTATCTGGCCATTAGCAATTTAGCCTTTGCAAGTTATTCTGTTTTTTAGAGAAGTGAGATTGAAGAAGAAACTTGATTATCAAAATGCTAGTTCTGAGCATCTAAAAACATATATAGGGAAGAATAGGTCCTTTAACGTGTTTTCACGTTGCATTTTTTGCAGAGTTAAAATAAAACTAGTAGTGTTAAATGAAGATGATGATTGGTAAAGCTTCCTTCTAGAATGTCTTATTGTCCTGAAGATAGTTTTCTAGTCACAATGCCAATTTTCTAGAGGAATAAAGACTGACACTTTTCTTCAGATTCATCGTTAGTTTTAATTATTTCACAAGTACAATACCCTTTTTCTTTTAAGAAGCTTCCACCTTAAAAAGCCTAAATTTGGAGATTCTGAAATAGCTGGTCTTGGAAACTTAATGAACCCCCTGCTACTGTCTCAGTGCTGGAACCACCTATACAGAAAACCTTTTGAGACCCTTACTGTGCCACCATTTCTTTTTTAACAATGTTTTCTTTTCCCCACTGCACAACCAGGCTCGGCTCCCTTCGTGCTCATCCACCTATAGTGTTTCTGAGGTATACTTGCACGTGTTCTCTCAAGTAGTTGACCTGCTTGCCCATCACCCTTTTTTGATTTTATTTACTTTTTTCATTTTTTGCATTGCACTGTGCAAAAGTGGAGAAAAATCAGCTGTGGGGGAAAATTCTGCATGATCACCCTGGAACCATGTTCAGCGTGGTTTTAAAATCACCATATTAGTCTGGGACCACCATGGTGCAGAGTCCAACTAGGCAATTGCTACATAACATAGGAGCATAAATTATATAATGAAAACATGGTTAATTTTCTCTTACATTAAAATGAGAATACTTCCCTAACAGACCTATAGACGCCCAGACTGTAAGATGCTTCACTAGTCATTCTGACCTGTTTTAACTCAGTGGTATTATTGTAACTAGAAAGGCTCTGTAGAAACAGCTGTCACATTATGATTAAGGATTACCTCAGTAGATACAGGATGAGTTATGGATATCTGAAGTTCATTATTATTTCCCAAAAGTCTGGCTTGGGAAACTATCTACTGCAAATGCGTACACTGTTGTAAATACTTCCATGTAAACTTCACGATGCTCTTCTATAATTTAAGGGTGTAGTACTGGCTTAGCAAGACTTGAAAAGAAAAATACGATAAATTGTAATTAGAATGGAAAAAAAGAGATTATTTAAGACTGCCCTTTCATACCATGTTTTCAGGCCAAAGATGTTAAGATAAACTAGGAACCACAGTATCACAGGATAAAAACAGAATTTATAAAATACTGTCAAATAAATGCCGTGAACCACTGGGTAATGATCAGGCTTCAGGATAGTATTACAATTGATTAATGAATAAGTATCAAAATGATCGATTGAGTTTTTCTGTAATATTGAATCAATCTGTCTGGAGCACATAGGGTTCATTTATTCTGTATTTTAAAAGAATCTCTTAAAAGTTGACAAGATCTGCTGAAAGCAAGATAATTCGTTCTATCTCACTGTAGAACCATAGTGAGCAAAGTTCTAGACCTGATGTTAAATTGCAGATTTTCTTCATAGGTATGAACTTGGTGACCAAGTGAAACTCAAACTCCAAAAAATGTTACTTGTTGGTTTAGCCCTTCGAGAAGAAGAGAAACACTCTATAATTCACTTTAAAACAAATCTTGTAGCTCATTATTTAGTTTATAAATTCACTCTTTAAGGTCAGAAACATAGCTCCAAGAAACACAGTGCTTTGTTATCGAAATGATATAATGGGTGATTATGACTGTGAATGCAGACACATATATATTCTAGATTTTGCCTTCTAGTTTGGGCCACTGTAACTAGATATTTTACAAATGTAAAGTAAATGGCTTTGACCAAGTTAACGTAGAGCCTAGTTTTTTTGAATCGTGTCCTGTCAGTCATTAATGGACTGTTTTGCTGACCATGCTCACAGTCACTCCTGCAGGTAACACAGTGGTCAGAGATAATGGTCCCTAAATTCTAAATCATATACACCGATCTTGTTAAAAAATACCACTGTTGAAAGTCCTATAAAGTATACACACATGCCAAAAAGTGAAGGTAATACTGATAGAAAAGGAGGATGTAAGACTTCAAGACTTAAAGGTATCATTCCAGGCAAATGAGATTTTAGACAGCCTCATAAGCAACCAGGGTGAAGTGGGGAGGAAATGAGACAAAACAGGTCTTTGACTTCCCCAGCCCACACGCATATATTCATGCAAGCACTCAACTGGTATTATGTGATGCTCTGTGATTGCACATTGGACTCATTCAGATTAAAGTTGTGTTTCCTCCTTCACATAAGGATGCTCTTACTTCACTCTATTAATGAATGTCATACAAATGCAAACGTAAAGAGGTCACCTAATCTGTAACTCTTATCCCTGAGCAGGATCAACTGTATATAAAGTAATATCTTGCTGATGTATGTCTAATTTGTCCTCAAGAAATTTCAGCCACTCAAGCAAATAATCCTAGCACTTCCTTATCCTTATTAATACAAAGGGTTTTTTCCTAATATCAGAGTATAAACAGGCAAATGATCTAATAAAAAACTTTTAAGGACAAAGAGGTGCTTACCAGTTTTCTGTCCAAGACAAATTACTGCTGTCTGGCTCTACCAGGAGATAAGTTGTTTTAAAGATAATCAACTATCTGTCCTTAAAAGCATCTGATACACATTCTGCAGTTTATTGTGCCTCATTACTCTATTATATGAAGGCCCTACTGTTTTTATCATGGTTATCATGAAAACACCAATATAGAAGAAATAATAATTCTATATTTATACACATATAAAGACACAGAGCTAATTAGCTTCTAAGCTAATACAGGGAGCAAGAAATAAAATTTAGTTCTTACAGGTGAAAGGCAGAGGCCGTTTTCATTCAACCAACCATTCATCTGAATGATCTGTGTGAATTGAAAAAAAGCTCTAGATCAACAGGCATCTCGGCCTGATGCCGCTTTGTTTCCCACAAATCCCACCCTTAGGTTTTCATCAGCAAAAATGGTGAACTTGCTCTTTTGCATATGAAGGAAATAAGCCAGCAAAAGGAGAACTAGACTCTTCTTGCTTTGCCTGCAGCTCCAGCCATTTGTTCTTTTTGCATTCTGGAGGGATCACTGTCTTCGAAAGGGCTAGAAACCAGTGTGTTGCCTTAGCAGGTAATCAGGTATTTATAGCTCTCCTGATTGATCAGGTTCTAAAAAACTATTTTGCCTTTTCCACATCTATCAGACTGTGATACTGACTAGTGATCTTGGAATAGATAGAGTCTACCTCAACAGAAAAATAAAATTGGAATATTAAGGACTTGGAGAACACTGTCCACAGAGGATATCTTTGGGATTTGTAGTAAAGGGTCTTTTAGCTGAGGTATTAGGGTGTCAGTGTGAGAGCATGCAAACAATTTGTCCTTTATATTCTGTCCAAAGAAAAGATCTTCATATCTAATGGTGTGGATAACCTGGCTCTCTGGTGAGCCAGATCATTTGAGGTAGTTAAAAAAACTTTTTTCAAGCTGATCACAATTCCATGCTTTTGAAACATAGATTGCCTTCTTTCAAACTGCAGACTGAAGGTATAGAAAAATGTGGATGCATTCTTCTCTGGGGCAGGAGGACACCCCGTCTGTTTTGAAACAGACCATTTGAGGAAGATCCAAAAGAACATCATTTGAAATGGAAGATCTCTGTGGCAACTAGGTATTTGAAGAGGCAAGGAGGGACTGGATGTTCTCTGGACTCCATAAAGGATGCACAGGGTAGTTTCCAACCTTATAAGGGACTCATCATTCAGAAATATAGGTTAAAGTCATGATGCAAGTCCTGCAGTGATAAATGTAACCTGTTATTATTTTGGAAAATGGGAAGGATTGCTATAAGTAAACAACCTTCTGACCTCTAAATATGAAAGAAATTCTCCCAAAATAAAACAGTGTTAAATAAAGCCCTAAAAGCCTGCTATGTGGTTTGATTAAGGGGAAAAACGGGAGTAATGTTAACTATATTGCATAATATCTGATATTCAAGAGAAAAAGATTCACACTTCTGGTAGGAGCTTTTGTGCCTACACCTATTTCTGTAGTTGTTACTGCAGGAAAATATTTTTTCTTAAGCTAATTCGAAATTCAAAGTTTCTTAATTGTGTATGTCCAGGTCATCATCAAATAGCTTTGGACCTTCAGAGAACACCAGGAACACACAGGCAATAGAAATGGAATCAGTGCTACCGGAATTCGGCTGAATGTGCCTTCCGACAATGGTAGAACAAAAGCAAAAGAAAATATCGTATGTTATAAAAAATTTCTGAAGTCTGTTTTTCAAAAATAGTCAATGTAGGTTCATCTTGAGAAATTTAATTATTATTTTCACTTTTGAGAAAAGCTTTGAAATTGGATGCATTGGTAATCTTAAAACTAATTTGAGCTAGAATTTGCTTCCTGCTTTCTTTTGCAGAAAACGTCCTTGTAGAGTCCATTTTCCTTCTCAGAGTCTAATAATTTTCACCTGTCACTTTTTATTGTCACCAGCTTCGAAACCTGATAAAGCTGTGGGCATGGTCAACTAAAGTCTATTTGAGAGGAACGGAAAGAAAGTTTTTTAAAACTTCTGCTTACCTTTAGTTATAATAAGCAAGGTTTTCATAGTTTGTTGAAGTCCAGGCTTTATGGGGTAGTAGTACTATACACTTAGCATGTTTTTCTTTTCTCTAGAGCCACAATCAGCACATTAACAATTCCACTTGTCTAGAATGAAATAGACCCTCTGTCTCTCTGGTTTAGTTCAATTAAATAACAGCAAGTTTCCCCTGTGTCAAGAGAAGCTTTAATGCTCTAAAATGGTAAAATATAAATTCATTTCCTCTTTGAAGTTTGCAGTCTGCAGTAAGGTTTTTCCCTCTTTTATGAAAACCAGGCTTCATGCCTGTAAGTTTTATGAATGTTAGCAGGAGTATTTAAATGAACTTTCTAAGAGTAGAAATATATTAATTCGCAATGATGCTGACTTAGCAGTTGTGCTAAGTATAGTATGTGTGTAATATATATATAATCAACTCATTATCCAGTTGTTACAAAGCATAGTAATCTTTTTTAAAATAGCTGGAGTTCACTTAAGAAGTTAATTAGACCAGATTGGCTTCAGTTACATTTTTAGAAGTACTCTGACTTAAGCTTGTATCTTAAAAATACTGTACAAAATTTAAAATAACGAATTGACCAACAAGAGGAAAGTCCAAAGTCAGAAAGTGTATAAAACTACACTTAGGTAGTATTATGCAATGACCCTGATTTTTATCTTGATTTGTACCTCAGAGTTTTTATTATCAGCATCAATCTCTCTCTCTCTTTCTTTCTCTCCCTTTCCTCTGGCTTCTGCATGTGCTATGCGTTTGGCTGAAAGCGTAATGAAGGAAACCTATTGATCTGCTTGTTGAAAGTATAGCGGCAGATGGATGTTCACCACAGTGCTATCCCCTGCTTTCCAAAAAATAGAAAATAAAATGTGAGCATGAAAAATT